AGAAAACACGGCATTGTTATGTGCCGGACGTTGATAGGTCTGCTTAGCCACATAGTGCGGCTGGGATTGCCTCTCGTTAGCGGCCTTGTCGTCCGTTTGGATGACCAAGTTCGCTCGATCCAGAATGGCCTGGAATGTGGTATAGTCGTACTCATTACCGAGGGCCGACCGCAATCCCGCGCACGATCGCGAGAAGAACTCGGATCGTTGATTTGGAAATGTCAAATCGAAACCTGTTGTGGTCACTATCTTTTGCCACTTCGTTGTCCAGTCTCGAGTTGGCATGTTCCCTTGAGAGCATGTGTAGACCTCGTTCATGGCCATCTTCACGACGTTGCGGACCATGAACCTGGTGAACCATAGTTGCTGGGACTGCCTCTCGTTAGCGGCCTTGTCGTCCGTTTGGACGACTAAGTTCGTTCTATCCAGAATGGCCTGGAACGTAGTATAGTCGTACTCGTTGCCGAGTGTCGACCGCAATCATGCGCACGATCTCGAGAAAAACTCGGATCGTTGATTAGGGAACGTCAAGTCGAAGCCTGGCGTGGTCACTATCTTCTGCCATTTTGATGCCCAGTCTCGCGTTGGCATGTTCCCTTGAGAGCATGTGTAGACCTCGTTCATGGCCATCTTCACGACGTTGCGGACCATGAAYCTGGTGAACCATAGCTGCTCGAACTCCTTCCACGTAATGTGCGTGTGGAGTTCGGCGATAGTGCACTTGTGTRTAGCYGYTAGGTGGTTCATCCATCCCTGCGCTCCTCCAATCAGCTGCAGATATAGTGCCTTCAACATGTCGTCCGCCGGGACCATGCGGCATGATGCTTCCGTGACGAAGCGTTGCCACCATGACAAGGCGTCCGACTTGTTGTAATCGTCGAACTTGCTGATGTCGAAGTGCGGCATCTTGAACGTCTTTGTAGCGGCTTCCGGTCTCGTCTGTAGCTTGGTGATGTCCGTCTTGATGGCGGCCACCGTGCTGCTGATCGAGTCTGGTCCGTTGAAAGTACTTATGTCGCCGATGATGGTGACGACGTGATCGATGCGCTCGTTGAGTTGCTTCGTCACGTCTGTCGTACAGCCTGGCGCTGCTGAGGCGTTAGCCTCTATGCTGTTGACGCGTGTGATAGTGGAATTCAACAGATGATGCTGTTGCTGCTGCTGCGTTGCCTCTGTGCGGATAGCAGTTGTTAACGCAGTCATATCGTTCTTGTATGTTTGTCGCTGCGTCGCGTCCGTGCGCAGATGTGAATGCAGCAGTGTATTATTCCACATAATACCTCTCATCATGCCCAGCAGCAAGTTAGCCAGGTTACTTCTCTCTGCCTCCGCCGGTGTCGGGTCTGCCTGCGCTTCCGTAGGCACAAAGATCATGCCTTGGAGTATCGTCGTCCACTGATGCTCACAAGCAATCAAGGACTCCGTGCTGCTGGCATTCCGTCTGTCTCATGTCTCTGCGTCAGTCTCAGTCATTCGCTGAGCTTCGGCTGCCGCTTCATTGGCTAGCCGCTGACGTTCTGCCTCTGCTGTCTCCTTCCGGGCCTCGACGGCAGCTACAGCTTCCGTAAATGCCAGTAGTCGCCCACGATAATCAGCCGCTGGCTCATTGGCTCCTCGGACTGGGTATGCGRGATGATCTCCGGTGGCGTCTTGTACCGTCAATGCCGTACTTGATGCTGCTGGAGTCGTCCGCCTGCTGAGTTTCTTCGGTCTTGGAGGTACTGCAGGGCGGGCACGAACTGCGATTCTGGCACTGCGTCGTGGCAGTGCCCCGGTGTCCTGTTCCGTCGACATCAGTCTGAACCGATG